GAATAGGTTTATGAGCTTCAACACCTAAGGGGGTAGCCACCACAAAAAAGGAGTCTCCATTCTATAGATTTGTAAGGATAGTAGCCCCCTCCATTCTCTCTCAAGCCTCCATTGATCCTACACCCAAAACCTCTAGTTTTCTTCATCTCTTCATCATTTTGTGCATTTCTAAACTGATTAAACCACTTCAACCACCTTCTTCTCTATTCTTTCAACCCCATTTTTAGCATCAACCATGACTATTCATTCCTGAAGCAATTACGATCGGTTTGAAGACATGAGAGGCTAAACCCTTAGCCTCTTGGTGATGGAGGACGAAGCTTGAGCTCAAGGACCTAATAGGGGAGTTATCAGTCAAAACTTGTGTTTGATTCAGTGTTAGAGATTTCTAGATTTAGGGATTTTTACATTTGTTTTAGACTTGATTTATGATTGTAAATCTTGTATTTAGACTATTGAATGTATTTGGATTGGATGCTGTTAATGTTAGATCATATATATATCAGTTTTGAATCCTTATGTTTATTTAATTATCAGTGATCATTGGTGACTAATCTAGATACTTGGTATTCAATGATTGTCGATTGACTTTTTGAGGACATTCACATCATCTGTTCATCTGCACTCTAAGTGGTTTCTAATAATGTTTTAAGAGATGTTAATTAACTTTGATTAAAAGTGAGTTTTCATTAATTAAGACATTGGACCCAATTTCTTCAAACTTAGAGATTTTCTAAAACTCCCAATCATTTTAAAGAGTAATGATAGCTGAGTTTCCATCATCAAGAGACTGTTTCACTATAATTCCCTTTTAATCCAAAACATTTCTCTATTCAATTAAAACACCAAAAACATTTAAATTCTCTACTTTTTACATTTATTACACCACCCTTAAACAGTTGAAAACTCCCTTTTTACTTTACCCAAATCATCGTGTTTTTAATTACCAAGTTAGACTAGTTTGTTTTCCAATAAAGTCCTCTTCGAGAAGAATGATTACTTGTACCCTATACTACATTATCTAGTGCAATCACAATTTTGATGTTCTGAAAAGCTGACATTCCAGTCTCGATCAATGGCGCTGTTGCTGGGGAGCCAAGAAATTGGTTTCCTAGTAATTGGTTTTTCATACCATTATGATTTGGGTCAATTCTTTTTGAGTTTTAGTTTTTGAACTTAGCTTTTGTATTTATAGCATAAAAATTTTTGCAAATAGAAATACGTATCTTGCTTTTCTATACTTTGGCATTTGCATTCTTGCACAGCATTTTACCTTTTGTTCTGACTTGATGCTGAGTGTTTTGGCCAATTGCTTGAAGTTTTGAATTCTGTGCATAGTTTGTTGAGCATCTAGTTAAAAAATTAGTAAATTTTTCAAAGGTTTTGTGAAAGTAGCTCTCTATGAAGTGAAGTCATGACCTCATATCTTTGAAGTCGCGACCTCAGTACTTAAGTCGCGACCTGACTTGTGGCTTATTGTGACCTCAGTTTTTGTTTTCCAGTGTTGCTCTTAGTCAGTTCAAGTCGTGACCTAGACTTTCTCAAGTCGCGACCTCATTTCCTTTTCCTTTCAAAGTTGCTCTCTATGTCATCAAGTTGCGGCCTGGATACTCTAAGTCACGACCTGAGCTGGTTTTATACTGAAAATATATTCTTAGTGTCCAGACTTACTCTTTTACATAGCTTTGCTTTCTGCATATACTTTGAGAGTGTATAGCACTTCATACACCTCAAACTCACTAAGCATTATTTGAAATCATTGAGTTTGCCTCAGTTTTGACATATACACTTGGCAAATATTAAAGTTTTGACACTACTTTTCTCTCTCACTCTATTTGTGCTTGATTTTGAGTAATTGTGCATGCCTAGAGCACATAGAGGTAGGAGAGGTAGGTACAGGATCCTGTAGCCTACTTCTTTTACGAGACCAATCCTATTCATCTAGTGAGAGTAAGGAAGTAAAAGAGGAAATCATGGCTGAAATACCTCAGAATGGTGGAAATGGGAATGCAATCATAATAGACCTAATAATGGTGGTAATAAGGGGCAGGGAGAGAATAATGGCTAGAATAGGATCCTTGGACAACCTAGGGGTAGAACTATCAAGGAATTAACTCAATCTGATGGGAATTTTGAACTTATGCCTGGTGCTTTTCCTACTTTTAATGCAGATTTTGAAATTAAAGGTTAATTGATTCACTCATTAACTAAGTTTCATGGTCTTACAATAGAAAACTCGTACCTTCATTTTCGGACTCTCTACATGTAGTGTTTGTCCATGAAGCTAGTGGGAGCAAGCATTAACGATGTAATATGGAAAGTATTTCACCTATCCTTAGAGGGAAAAGGTGAAAGAATGGTACATAAACCTGCCACTCTAAGCAATTTTAACAGCTAAGCAAGAACCATTCGAGTTATTCTTTGAATTCTGGAGCCGATTTCAAGAAATGCTTACCTAGTGCCCCAATCATCAAATCCTTGAGGAGCACTTGGTATAGTATTTCTACAATGGATTGTTGCCCTATGATAAAGCTCAATTTTTATATATTTTATCCCACATTAATTCAGGATTTAAATGATAATTTTGAGCTTAATTGGATTTTTATGCATTATTGGATAATTTGGTTGATTTTTGGATTTTACATAAAAATTGAGATTTTGGATTGAAAATATGAATATTTTATGCTTTCCTATTTTTGACTTGGACTTAATTTTTCCTATTTCTTTGAAAATAAGTCTCATATTTTTAGAAAGATTACTTTTAGAAAGTTTTGCAATTTCTTGCCTAATTTTTGTGCAGATCTGATATTTAATTTTTGATTATATTTGGATATAATCTACATTAATGGATGCACTTAAATTCTTGTAGGTCAAGAAAGAGCATATGGGGAATTCAATGGTGCAAGATTGTTTCTTAGGATTTAAGCACAATCCAATGGCTAATATCAAGTGGGTCAATTAATTACTAATGAGCTTGAGTTTTGGATTCAGAAAAATTTCCTTTTCTCCCATTAAAATAATTTCCTTATTTGAGAGGACAAAAAAACGCCTAATACCCCTGAATCATTGATGCCATATTCACTCCTAAGGATACCTACTTTCCATTCTCCATTGACTCACACACGGACATCAATTTTTCAACGCCAACTCTCTTCCCCCTCATTCACGTCAAGCAAACCCACCAATTAAATAACCATCTTCCTTCCACATTCATTTTTCCGGGGCGATCCAATTCCCATCTCCACATCATCATCAACTTTCATCAAATTATGGCCATAGCATCAAACAATTTTGGAGGAGAAGGCAATTTGATGGAAGCTTAAGCTTACAGGGAGGCAACTTGGGAGAAGCATGAAGGAGACTTGAGCCTTGGGCTAGCACTTGAAAACCACAAGGGAGTGATGTTCCATTCATCTTTTTAATTCAAGGACTTGAAATTATTTAGTTTTAAATGATTTTAAGTTGTATTTTTATTGAGACAATTTAGTTCTAGATTGTCAATTTTATTCTTGGATTGAATTGATATTTGGATCTTATTTGTGCCGAGATACTTGTTGGAATATATGTTTAGAACCTTTGCATTGTTAATTGAATTTATAATTGAGTTTTCATTATGAGTTTAATTATCAATGTGGTTTGAATTGCAAAATTTGGGTTCTTTCACCTCTTAATTGTTTAATTAAGCTGGTTGATTATCTAATTGTTTAATTGGATAATTTCAAACATAATTTCCAAAATTAATTTGAATTATTTTCATTGGTTTTAATAAGCTTAATTAACCAACCTTACACTGTTATGAGTTCTCTAATAGTTTAAGGGTTTTTTAAGTTGAGGGTTCCCTTTATTTCAAATAGGTGATTAAGTTTATTAATTCCACTCTCTTATCACTTTCCTTTGGTCTAATTAACTGATTAAGGTTATGAAGGTTAAATCCATGCAAATCCTAAGTTGTCCCCTCTACCTCACCGAAGAGAAACTTCTTAACTTTTACTTGCTAATTCTCTTTGCTTTCTGATTAATTTTCTTTATTCATTATTTTTATTTTCCTTCAAAAAATCCCCCCAAAAATTGCATTGCATTTATTGAGTTTAATTTAATTTTCACATAGATTTTAGGACATTTGCATTTTCCATTTAGAATTAAAATTTTGCATTTTAGTTTAGGTCCAATTTATTGCATTTTTTTATCACCTGAATTTTTACCTAAAGAAACACATAAATTGCTCCTTGGAAGTAATGACCTAGGTCGATCCTAAACTACAAATTAATTGGGACCTAGTTTAATTGAGTGCTTTAACGACAGAGGCATCATCACCCTATGATGCCCAAGTCTTGGATATTGCTGCAAATGGATCTGTGGAGAATATGGAACCACGAGTTGCATTGGAGTTAATAAGAACTTTTGCTCTCAACCGACAACATGTAGGCTCAAGGGATCTAAGGGATCACAAAGCTGAAAAAGACCTACTTTTAGGCAAGCTAGCCCAAGACATGTCTAAGCTTGCAAATACAGTTAAAAGTCTTTGCTCTAACAAACCACAATATCTTGCTTTAGTGGCTAAAAGTGGTAGGGTTTGTGACTCTCCGATACATACTATACCAAATTGCCTTGGGCCTATTGAAGAAGTTAATGCAATGTACTATGGTAGAGAGGGGTAATATCAAAAAAGGGACCCCTACTCTAATACCTACAATTCCGGTTGGAGAGACCACCCAAACTTTAAATGGGGAGGAGGAGCAAATAGACCAAATCAATTCCAAGGCAATCAATTTCACAATGCTAGGGCTTCCTCAAGCAATTTTCAAGACCCTTTAAGGGCAATAGTTATAACTCCTCAATAGGCTATGGCATCTCAACCACCACCGAGGGGATGACACTTCTCAACTTTTGAAGAATATGGCTGTACATATGACAAACATGAAGGATGAATAAAGAAGAGTGATGAAAAGTTTGTCTCCATAACTACTATATTGTAAGGGATGTAGAAAGATAACTCAGATATGCACAAGAAATTGGAGGAGCTTACCTTGAAGAAGATTGATATCACTAGTCATTTGATCCAATTGTCTAACGCAGTCAATGACATACAAGCCAAGAGTGGAGAAAGCATTCCCTCCAAGACAATGATCAACCCAGAAGGTCTCAGTGCTATGACCCTACGAAGTAGTAGAAAAGTTCACTTTGAGGATGAAAGGGTAGATAAGACTAAAGTTGATAAAGATGTTAACAGCCCTCCGCTTTCCCCAATGAGGCTTGGCAAATCTAAAAGCTCACAAGAAGAGGAGCTCATAAAGAGGGCAAGAGCACAAACTAGTCCAGAAGAGAAGCCAACTCAAGCACATGACCAAGTAATTCAAGAAGTTATGCCAAAAGATGAAAATATCATGGAGAGCTCCACTTACAAAGGCAAACAAAAAGAGGACAAGGCAGAGACGAGCATGCAAGGAGCCTCTAAGCCTTCAGGTAAGGAGGTAACTCCTAAAGATCTCCCTTTCCCTAAAGCTTATTTCTCTAGTAAGAAAAAGTTTGATGCTAAGCTTGCCACTGATGCTTACTCTCTTTTTAACAAGCTGGAAACTAATGTGCCTATAATTCAACTCTTGAGAGGAAACCCTAAATACTTCAAATTATTAAAGAAACTGTGTAATGACAAGCAAAGGTTTAGGCCTCTTGAGAGAATTCAAGTGAGTACTAATGTGTCATCCTTATTTAAAGCTGAACTACCGGTTAAGTGCCAAGATCTTAGATCTTACACCATCCCCTGTACCATAAGAAAGGTTCACATTAAGGGAGCATTGTTAGATTTAGGAGCTGCTATAAATGTCATGCCTTGGTCGATTTATTTGGCTTTAGGGATAAATGGCATCAAAGGCACAATTGTAGTACTCCAAGTAGCAGATAGGTCTATCAAGTACCCCAAGGGAATCATAGAAGATATTATGGTTCAGGTTAAAGATCTAGTATTTCCTGCTGATTTCTATTCTAGACATGTCTAATGAACTTGTAAATGAGAGTACTCTGATTTTAGGAAAACCTTTCTTGTAAAATTCTAAAACCGTCATAAGCATGAAGCATAGTTGTATAACAATAGAAGTAGGAGATCACGTTATAACTTTTAATATGAACGAAGCCATACATTACCCCCTTGATAATTCTGCATTCATGGGTTTAAATGCCATTAATTTAGTTGTTAAGTAAGCTAGGGATGAGCATAAGTTGCATATGCATGATGTTTATGACATGTGTTCCCCTAAAATGATTGATTCTTCTGCTATATCATCACATGAATCTTATGAGCTTGACTCATCTTTGAGTACATATGATAAATGTTTCAATTCCCTCTTCTATTTGTTTATTTTCTAGCACTTGTAGAGATGAGGTGCTATGCATCAATTCTTTAGAAATTGATAGCATGCTTTTTATTTCTCAAGATTTTTCTTTTCTATCAAGTTTTGATTCCATTTCTATGTTTACTACTGATGTTAGCCTTAGAAAAGGTATGTTAGCTAATGATGCAGGTATTCAAGATGTGGTCGATACTGAGAGTGGAGCAAAATCTGAGGATATGAGCTTCTATGACATGGGGTTGCGACCTGAGGGTTTTGAAGTCGCGAGTTCAGATCAAGCTTGCTAAGAGGGTCGCCTTTGTGAAGTAAGGTCTCGACTTGGAGATGTGAGGTCACGACCTGAGTTTCCTATTTTACCTCCTGAACTTCAAACTTCAATTGCTTCACTACCTCATCTCTTAAAGACCCTGGTTAAAGGGCCAATACTTTCTAACTCAATTATCACTCATACACATTATAAGATTACACCCCACACCTTATGATTTTTGAATGATCCAATCTCTAATAATGATATAGGTATGGAGGTAAACCAACCTAAGGTTGTTGCTGCTATAGACCAACTTGAGCTTGGTGCAATATCTGATAGGCTTAAAGCAAGCATCATGGATCCAAGTGAAGCTGGCGAGTGCATTTCGTAAGGGTCTACAAAAGGGAGTTTCTCTAACTCTATTGATTTTCCTAGTCTAATTCTCTCTATTGTCCAACCCCTGACTTTAGAATTAAAAGATTTACCTCCCAACCTCAAATACGCTTATCTTGAGCCTGAGAATAAATTGCCTATCATTATTTCTAGTTTTTTAACTGAACATGAAGAGACTAGTCTAATGGGAGTCCTTTGAAGAAATAGGGAGGCTTTGGGTTGGCAACTAGCTGACATAAAGGGAATTAACTCTACTGTGTGTACCTATAGGATTTTACTGATTGAGAATTCCAAGCCAATTAAACAAAACCAGAGGAGGTTGAATCCTCTAATATCTGATGTGGTTAGGAAATAAGTAGATAAACTTCTGAGAGCTGGAATTATTTATGCTATATCTGATAGTAAATGGGTGTCATTGGTACAAGTCATGCCGAAAAAGAGTGGAATCATAGTAGTTAAAAACAAGAATAATGAACTCATCCTAACTAAGGTGCAAAACTCATGGAGAGTTTACATTGACTATAGGAAACTGAATGAATCCACTGGGAAAGCTCACTTTTCCTTGCCCTTTATTAATCAAATGCTTGAACGGTTAGCGGGGAAGAGTCATTATTATTTCTTAGATGGATATTCTAGATATTTTCAAATTCCTATAGACCTTAAGGACCAAGATAAGATTACTTTCACTTGTCTTTTTGGAACCTATGCTTACAAAAGAATGCCCTTTGGTCTTTGCAATGCCCCTGACACATTCTAACGCTGTATGCTATCTATTTTTGCTGAATTTATTGAAAAATACATGGATGTGTTTATGGATGATTTTACTGTGTATGGGAATTCTTTTGATGATTGCTTGAAAAGTGTCGACAAAATCTTAGCACGATGCAAAAAGAAAAAGCTGGTTTTGAATTATGAAAAATGCCATTTCATGGTTAATCAAGGTATCTTGCTAGGACATTTGATCTCTAAAAAAGAAATAGAGGTTGATAAAGCCAAAGTGGAAGTGATATCTTCTTTACCCTACCCTACCAACTTGAAAGAGTTGAGGTCCCTTTTAGGACATGTAGGGCTCTATAGAAGGTTCATCAAGAATTCTAGTAAAATTACTTTACCTCTTTCCAAACTTCTGTAAAAAGATGTTGATTTTCAATTTCGTCTTGCATGTGAGCTTGTTTTTGATGAGTTGAGGAATAGGCTAGTTACTCCTCTAATTTTGACCTCTCCCAACTGGGATTTGCTTTTTGAAATTTCCTGTGATGCTTCAAACTTTAGTGCTAGAAAAATAGCTAGAAAAGTGCTAGATGCAGGTTTTTATTAGCCTACCCTGTTTAGAGATACATTCACTTTTTCTAAGGCATGTGATAAATGCCAACGATTGAGGGGGTTAATAGAAGGAATGAAATGCCACAGCAACCCATTCTATTCTATGAGATCTTCAACGCTTGAGGAATAGACTTTATGGGCCTCTTTCCACCTTCTCACGGTTACACCTACATACTCCTAGCTATCGATTACCTCTTTATGTGGGTAGAAACCATCCCCACATGAAAGGATGATACACCTACAGTTTCTAAATTTCTGAAGTCTACCATTTTCAATAGATTTGGAGTACCTAAAGTACTAATCAGTGATCAAGGAACTCACTTCTGCAACAAGCTACTCAATAACTTGTTAACTAAATATGGGGTTTCTCATAGAGTATCCACCCTATACCATCTACAAACCAATAGTCTGGCTAAGGTATCTAATAGAGAGATTAAACGCATCCTGGAGCATATTGTCAAGCCCTCTAACAGAGATTGGAGCTTGAGAGTAGACAATACACTGTGGGCCTACCATACCACCTACAAGACACCAATAGGAATGTCTTCGTACCAGATCATCTAAAGGAAGTCTTGTCACATTCTGGTGGAGCTGGAGTACAAATCATACTAGGCGGTTAAAAGCTACAATGCCAATTTAAAGGAAGCTGGTCTAAACCGACTCCTTCAAATTCAAGAACTGGAAGAAATACGATTAGATGCCTACAACAACTCAGACATCTATAAGTAGAAAACCAAGCTTGTTCACAATGCCAACATCTTGAGGAAGCAGTTTAAGGAGGGTGATAAAGTATTGAGATATCAAGTTCGGTTCAAATTCAAGAAGGGTAAGTTCAAGATAAGCTAGGATGGACCATACATTGTTATGAAAGTTCACAACTTCGAGATGATAGAGCTCAAGGGAGAGACCACAGATAAAATGTTCCAGTGTAACAGTCATCTCCTCAAGCTCTACGAAGAGCCCGCCCCTCCTTCTTAAGGTCAGGTCGTCCTTTTCCTTTGCCTCTTACTTTTCACATGAATTTACTTGTGCTTAAATTATCTTGTTGTGACTGTTTGAGGTTGTGAAAGGGATGTCCTCAGTAGAAGTAGTTTCTAAATTTTGTTTGTTATGTTTGTTTTCAATAATCTCCCCTAGCCTTGAGTTTGATATGACGTGATTATGCTTATATTTTGTCACCACCTTTGTGCTTAAATCTTTCCCCCCTCTAGAAAGGTGATGTGTTGTGCTTTAGTCTCGAACTGAACTTCACAACTTCCACCTTCATTGTTTTTATGTTTGGGCTTTGTGCTTCGGTGTAACTGTGTGTTGCAATGTGGATATTGCTTTGAGTATGTGGGCGAAAGAGGTTTGAAAGTGGTTTTATGCTTTGTTTATTGGGTTGTTCCCTATTATGGGTAGTTCTTGTGGAAACTTGCCAAAATTTTTTGAAAATTCTTGAAATTTTTAAAGTTTTTCCTAATCTTCCATCACTTGTTTTTGAAGTTTTATATTGAATTGTTGAGAATTTAGTGATGGATTGCTAAGTTGGGTTGTTATGGTAGGCATTTTGGTGAATAGTTTTGGTTTAGGGAATTAGAATTGAAGTTTTTTAGGGTCTAGAGAGTCAAAGAACTCTCTATGACTCCAGGTCATGACCTCGCTGATTTTAAGTCGCGACCTGGAGGTTAGTCTGAGGAGAGGAGCTCTCTGTGAGCTAAAGTCGTGACCTCTCTATCTTAGGTCGCGACTTGGAGAAGACAATGGGTAGAGGCTCTCTGTGTGTTGAGGTCACAACCTCGAGCATTCCTAGAACCCTAAATCCCCCTCTGTCAGCTGAAGTCATGACCTCACATCCCTTAGGTCATGATCTGACATGAAAAGTCAGGATTTTTCACTGAGTTCACCTCTTTACCCTTACTTATCTCCACCCTAATTACCATTTTGCCCTTTGAACCTATCTTGGATTCCAACCCGGTTCACCTCAAGGACCTAAAACCCTAGCCTCCCTTTGTAAAACCACACACAACCCTCCCTTTCAGCTTCCCACACACGTTCACTCTCCATAACCTACGCTGATCTTTTGACTCCTTGAGTCGCAACTTCCCCTCTCTTATAACTGCCTCCCCTTTTAGTCTTCTCAACTGAAACTGCTCTTCCTCTTCAAAAACCTGTCTTTTCTTTACCCCCTTATCTCCCTAAATGCCAACCTACTCTCCTACGCTTGTCGTTGCTTTCTTGTCTTTAGAATTCATCCCTTGCAGTCCGTATTTCAAGCCATTCTTCAGTAAACTCTATTTTGCTTGTGCTCTTTCAAGGTTTGCTTTGTTTTTTTATCCTTTCTAGTTTAGTTTAGCTCTATGTTTTCTAAGGTTTTAGTTTCCAGGCTTTGATTTTGATTGACTAGAGTCTTGGCTGGATGTTTATAATGCTGTTTAACTTGTTTTCGAACTGCTTGGGATCACATTTGCTGCAAATATTTGGTTTCTGAAAAACTGATTCGTTTTGCATTTTCTGAACTTTCTAGGTTCAGGTCGCGACCTCAACACATTGAGGTCACGACCTCAAAACTTTCTAGATTCAAAATTTTCCCTCTGTCAATTCATGTCATAACGTCGCTATTACCAGGTCTCGACCTGAGCTTACAGAGGACCTTTAAACCTCTACTTCACTTCTGTTGTTTCCAAACTGTAGTTTCTCAATGGAT